ATCGCTTATTTTCATAGAAATCCCTGTTTTTCCCCTAAAATATCGCTTATTTTCATAGAAATCCCTGTTTTTCCCCTAAAATATCGCTTATTTTCATAGAAATCCCTGTTTTTAACCCTAAAATATCGCTTATTTTCATAGAAATCCCTGTTTTTCCCCTAAAATATCGCTTATTTTCACAGAAATCCCTGTTTTTCCCCTAAAATATCGCTTATTTTCATGGAAATCCCTGTTTTTCCCCTAAAATATCGCTTATTTTCATAGAAATCCCTGTTTTTCCCCTAAAATATCGCTTATTTTCATAGAAATCCCTGTTTTTAACCCTAAAATATCGCTTATTTTCATAGAAATCCCTGTTTTTCCCCTAAAATATCGCTTATTTTCATAGAAATCCCTGTTTTTAACCCTAAAATATCGCTTATTTTCATAGAAATCCCTGTTTTTCCCCTAAAATATCGCTTATTTTCACAGAAATCCCTGTTTTTCCCCTAAAATATCGCTTATTTTCACAGAAATCCCTGTTTTTAACCCTAAAATATCGCTTATTTTCATAGAAATCCCTGTTTTTCCCCTAAAATATCGCTTATTTTCACGGAAATTCCTGTTTTTCCCCTAAAATATCGCTTATTTTCATAGAAATCCCTGTTTTTCCCCTAAAATATCGCTTATTTTCATAGAAATCCCTGTTTTTCCCCTAAAATATCGCTTATTTTCACAGAAATCCCTGTTTTTCCCCTAAAATATCGCTTATTTTCACAGAAATCCCTGTTTTTAACATAAAATATCGCTTATTTTCATAGAAATCCCTGTTTTTCCCCTAAAATATCGCTTATTTTCATAGAAATCCCTGTTTTTCCCCTAAAATATCGCTTATTTTCATAGAAATCCCTGTTTTTCCCCTAAAATATCGCTTATTTTCATAGAAATCCCTGTTTTTCCCCTAAAATATCGCTTATTTTCATAGAAATCCCTGTTTTTAACCCTAAAATATCGCTTATTTTCATAGAAATCCCTGTTTTTCCCCTAAAATATCGCTTATTTTCACAGAAATCCCTGTTTTTCCCCTAAAATATCGCTTATTTTCATAGAAATCCCTGTTTTTAACCCTAAAATATCGCTTATTTTCATAGAAATCCCTGTTTTTCCCCTAAAATATCGCTTATTTTCATAGAAATCCCTGTTTTTCCCCTAAAATATCGCTTATTTTCATAGAAATCCCTGTTTTTAACCCTAAAATATCGCTTATTTTCATAGAAATCCCTGTTTTTCCCCTAAAATATCGCTTATTTTCATGGAAATCCCTGTTTTTCCCCTAAAATATCGCTTATTTTCATAGAAATCCCTGTTTTTCCCCTAAAATATCGCTTATTTTCATGGAAATCCCTGTTTTTCCCCTAAAATATCGCTTATTTTCATAGAAATCCCTGTTTTTCCCCTAAAATATCGCTTATTTTCATAGAAATCCCTGTTTTTCCCCTAAAATATCGCTTATTTTCATAGAAATCCCTGTTTTTAACCCTAAAATATCGCTTATTTTCATAGAAATCCCTGTTTTTCCCCTAAAATATCGCTTATTTTCATAGAAATCCCTGTTTTTAACCCTAAAATATCGCTTATTTTCATAGAAATCCCTGTTTTTCCCCTAAAATATCGCTTATTTTCATAGAAATCCCTGTTTTTAACCCTAAAATATCGCTTATTTTCATAGAAATCCCTGTTTTTCCCCTAAAATATCGCTTATTTTCATAGAAATCCCTGTTTTTCCCCTAAAATATCGCTTATTTTCATAGAAATCCCTGTTTTTCCCCTAAAATATCGCTTATTTTCATAGAAATCCCTGTTTTTAACCCTAAAATATCGCTTATTTTCATAGAAATCCCTGTTTTTCCCCTAAAATATCGCTTATTTTCACAGAAATCCCTGTTTTTCCCCTAAAATATCGCTTATTTTCATAGAAATCCCTGTTTTTCCCCTAAAATATCGCTTATTTTCACAGAAATCCCTGTTTTTCCCCTAAAATATCGCTTATTTTCATGGAAATCCCTGTTTTTCCCCTAAAATATCGCTTATTTTCATAGAAATCCCTGTTTTTCCCCTAAAATATCGCTTATTTTCACAGAAATCCCTGTTTTTCCCCTAAAATATCGCTTATTTTCATAGAAATCCCTGTTTTTAGCCCTAAAATATCGCTTATTTTCATGGAAATCCCTGTTTTTAACCTAAAATATCGCTTATTTTCACAGAAATCCCTGTTTTTCCCCTAAAATATCGCTTATTTTCATAGAAATCCCTGTTTTTAACCCTAAAATATCGCTTATTTTCACGGAAATTCCTGTTTTTCCCCTAAAATATCGCTTATTTTCATAGAAATCCCTATTTTTCCCCTAAAATATCGCTTATTTTCATAGAAATCCCTGTTTTTAACATAAAATATCGCTTATTTTCATAGAAATCCCTGTTTTTCCCCTAAAATATCGCTTATTTTCATAGAAATCCCTGTTTTTAACCCTAAAATATCGCTTATTTTCATAGAAATCCCTGTTTTTATCCCTAAAATATCGCTTATTTTCATAGAAATCCCTGTTTTTCCCCTAAAATATCGCTTATTTTCACAGAAATCCCTGTTTTTAACCCTAAAATATCGCTTATTTTCACAGAAATCCCTGTTTTTCCCCTAAAATATCGCTTATTTTCATGGAAATCCCTGTTTTTCCCCTAAAATATCGCTTATTTTCACAGAAATCCCTGTTTTTCCCCTAAAATATCGCTTATTTTCACAGAAATCCCTGTTTTTCCCCTAAAATATCGCTTATTTTCACAGAAATCCCTGTTTTTCCCCTAAAATATCGCTTATTTTCATAGAAATCCCTGTTTTTAACATAAAATATCGCTTATTTTCATAGAAATCCCTGTTTTTAACCCTAAAATATCGCTTATTTTCACAGAAATCCCTGTTTTTCCCCTAAAATATCGCTTATTTTCATAGAAATCCCTGTTTTTCCCCTAAAATATCGCTTATTTTCATGGAAATCCCTGTTTTTCCCCTAAAATATCCTTATTTTCATAGAAATCCCTGTTTTTCCCCTAAAATATCGCTTATTTTCATAGAAATCCCTGTTTTTAACCCTAAAATATCGCTTATTTTCATAGAAATCCCTGTTTTTAACATAAAATATCGCTTATTTTCACAGAAATCCCTGTTTTTCCCCTAAAATATCGCTTATTTTCATAGAAATCCCTGTTTTTAACATAAAATATCGCTTATTTTCATAGAAATCCCTGTTTTTCCCCTAAAATATCGCTTATTTTCACAGAAATCCCTGTTTTTAACCCTAAAATATCGCTTATTTTCATGGAAATCCCTGTTTTTCCCCTAAAATATCGCTTATTTTCATAGAAATCCCTGTTTTTCCCCTAAAATATCGCTTATTTTCATAGAAATCCCTGGTTTTCCCCTAAAATATCGCTTATTTTCATAGAAATCCCTGTTTTTCCCCTAAAATATCGCTTATTTTCACAGAAATCCCTGTTTTTCCCCTAAAATATCGCTTATTTTCATAGAAATCCCTGTTTTTCCCCTAAAATATCGCTTATTTTCACGGAAATCCCTGTTTTTCCCCTAAAATATCGCTTATTTTCACTGAAATTCCTGTTTTTCCCCTAAAATATCGCTTATTTTCATAGAAATCCCTGTTTTTCCCCTAAAATATCGCTTATTTTCATAGAAATCCCTGTTTTTAACCCTAAAATATCGCTTATTTTCATAGAAATCCCTGTTTTTAACCCTAAAATATCGCTTATTTTCATAGAAATCCCTGTTTTTAGCCCTAAAATATCGCTTATTTTCATAGAAATCCCTGTTTTTCCCCTAAAATATCGCTTATTTTCATAGAAATCCCTGTTTTTAACCCTAAAATATCGCTTATTTTCACAGAAATCCCTGTTTTTAGCCCTAAAATATCGCTTATTTTCATAGAAATCCCTGTTTTTATCCTAAAATATCGCTTATTTTCATAGAAATCCCTGTTTTTCCCCTAAAATATCGCTTTATTTTCATAGAAATCCCTGTTTTTCCCCTAAAATATCGCTTATTTTCACGGAAATCCCTGTTTTTCCCCTAAAATATCGCTTATTTTCATAGAAATCCCTGTTTTTAACCCTAAAATATCGCTTATTTTCATAGAAATCCCTGTTTTTAGCCCTAAAATATCGCTTATTTTCATAGAAATCCCTGTTTTTATCCATAAAATATCGCTTATTTTCATAGAAATCCCTGTTTTTCCCCTAAAATATCGCTTATTTTCATGGAAATCCCTGTTTTTAACCCTAAAATATCGCTTATTTTCATAGAAATCCCTGTTTTTAACCCTAAAATATCGCTTATTTTCATGGAAAATCCCTCTTTTTTCCCCAAAAATATCGCTTATTTTCATGGAAATCCCTGTTTTTACCCCAAAAATATCGCTTATTTTTCATAGAAATCCCTGTTTTTACCCCTAAAATATCGCTTATTTTCATGGAAATCCCTGCTTTTAACCCTAAAATATCGCTTATTTTCATAGAAATCCCTGTTTTTCCCCTAAAATATCGCTTATTTTCATAGAAATCCCTGTTTTTCCCCTAAAATATCGCTTATTTTCATGGAAATCCCTGTTTTTAACCCTAAAATATCGCTTATTTTCATAGAAATCCCTGTTTTTAACCCCAAAATATCGCTTATTTTCATGGAAATCCCTATTTTTCCCCTAAAATATCGCTTATTTTCATAGAAATCCCTGTTTTTCCCCTAAAATATCGCTTATTTTCACAGAAATCCCTGTTTTTAACCCTAAAATATCGCTTATTTTCATGGAAATCCCTGTTTTTAACCCTAAAATATCGCTTATTTTCATGGAAATCCCTGCTTTTCCCCTAAAATATCGCTTATTTTCATAGAAATCCCTGTTTTTCCCCTAAAATATCGCTTATTTTCACAGAATTCCCTGTTTTTAACCCTAAAATATCGCTTATTTTCATGGAAATCCCTGTTTTTCCCCTAAAATATCGCTTATTTTCATAGAAATCCCTGTTTTTAACCCTAAAATATCGCTTATTTTCATAGAAATCCCTGCTTTTCCCCTAAAATATCGCTTATTTTCATAGAAATCCCTGTTTTTAACCCTAAAATATCGCTTATTTTCATGGAAATCCCTGTTTTTAACCCTAAAATATCGCTTATTTTCACAGAAATCCCTGTTTTTAACATAAAATATCGCTTATTTTCATGGAAATCCCTGTTTTTTCCCCTAAAATATCGCTTATTTTCATCGAAATCCCTGTTTTTAATCCTAAAATATCGCTTATTTTCATGGAAATCCCTGTTTTTCCCCTTAAATATCGCTTATTTTCATAGAAATCCCTGTTTTTAACATAAAATATCGCTTATTTTCATGGAAATCCCTGTTTTCAACCCTAAAATATCGCTTACTTTCATAGAAATCCCTGTTTTTCCCCTAAAATATCGCTTATTTTCATGGAAATCCCTGTTTTTCCCCTAAAATATCGCTTATTTTCACAGAAATCCCTGTTTTTAACCTAAAATATCGCTTATTTTCATGGAAATCCCTGTTTTTCCCCTAAAATATCGCTTATTTTCATGGAAATCCCTGCTTTTCCCCTAAAATATCACTTATTTTCATGGAAATCCCTGTTTTCAACCCTAAAATATTGCTTATTTTCATAGAAATCCCTGTTTTTCCCCTAAAATATCGCTTATTTTCATAGAAATCCCTGTTTTTAACCCTAAAATATCGCTTATTTTCATGGAAATCCCTGCTTTTAACCCTAAAATATCGCTTATTTTCATGGAAATCCCTGCTTTTAACCCTGAAATATCGCTTATTTTCATAGAAATCCCTGTTTTTCACCCTAAAATATCGCTTATTTTCATAGAAATCCCTGTTTTTCACCCTAAAATATCGCTTATTTTCATAGAAATCCCAGCTTTTAACCCTGAAATATCGCTTATTTTCATAGAAATCCCTGTTTTTCCCCTAAAATATCGCTTATTTTCATCGAAATCCCTGTTTTTAACCCTAAAATATCGCTTATTTTCACAGAAATCCCTGGTTTTTAACCCTAAAATATCGCTTATTTTCATAGAAATCCCTGTTTTTAACCCTAAAATATCGCTTATTTTCATGGAAATCCCTGCTTTTAACCCTGAAATATCGCTTATTTTCATAGAAATCCCTGTTTTTAACCCTAAAATATCGCTTATTTTCATAGAAATCCCTGTTTTTCACCCTAAAATATCGCTTATTTTCATAGAAATCCCTGTTTTTCCCCTGAAATATGCCTTATTTTCATAGAAATCCCTGTTTTTAACATAAAATATTGCTTATTTTCATAGAAATCCCTGTTTTTCCGCTAAAATATCGCTTATTTTCATAGAAATCCCTGTTTTTCCCCTAAAATATCGCTTATTTTCATGGAAATCCCTGTTTTTCCCTAAAATATCGCTTATTTTCATAGAAATCCCTGTTTTTCCCCTAAAATATCACTTATTTTCACGGAAATCCCTGTTTTTCCCCTAAAATATCGCTTATTTTCATAGAAATCCCTGTTTTTTCCCCTAAAATATCGCTTATTTTCATAGAAATCCCTGTTTTTATCCCTAAAATATCGCTTATTTTCATAGAAATCCCTGTTTTTCCCCTAAAATATCGCTTATTTTCATAGAAATCCCTGTTTTTAACATAAAATATCGCTTATTTTCATGGAAATCCCTGTTTTTCCCCTAAAATATCGCTTATTTTCATAGAAATCCCTGTTTTTCCCCTAAAATATCGCTTATTTTCATAGAAATCCCTGCTTTTCCCCTAAAATATCGCTTATTTTCATAGAAATCCCTGTTTTTAACCCTAAAATATCGCTTATTTTCATAGAAATCCCTGTTTTTAACCCTAAAATATCGCTTATTTTCATAGAAATCCCTGTTTTTCCCCTAAAATATCGCTTATTTTCATGGAAATCCCTGTTTTTATCCCTAAAATATCGCTTATTTTCATAGAAATCCCTGTTTTTCAACCCTAAAATATCGCTTATTTTCACAGAAATCCCTGTTTTTAACCCTAAAATATCGCTTATTTTCATGGAAATCCCTGTTTTTAACCCTAAAATATCGCTTATTTTCATAGAAATCCCTGCTTTTAACCCTAAAATATCGCTTATTTTCATAGAAATCCCTGTTTTTCCCTAAAATATCGCTTATTTTCATAGAAATCCCTGTTTTTAACCCTAAAATATCGCTTATTTTCATAGAAATCCCTGTTTTTAACCCTAAAATATCGCTTATTTTCATAGAAATCCCTGTTTTTCCCCTAAAATATCGCTTATTTTCATAGAAATCCCTGTTTTTAACCTAAAATATCGCTTATTTTCATAGAAATCCCTGTTTTTAACCCTAAAATATCGCTTATTTTCATGGAAATCCCTGTTTTTATCCCTAAAATATCGCTTATTTTCATGGAAATCCCTGCTTTTAACCCTAAAATATCGCTTATTTTCATCGAAATCCCTGTTTTTAACCCTAAAATATCGCTTATTTTCATAGAAATCCCTGTTTTTCCCCTAAAATATCGCTTATTTTCATAGAAATCCCTGTTTTTCCCCTAAAATATCGCTTATTTTCATGGAAATCCCTGTTTTTCCCCTAAAATATCGCTGATTTTCATAGAAATCCCTGTTTTTCCCCTAAAATATCGCTTATTTTCATAGAAATCCCTGTTTTTCCCCTAAAATATCGCTTATTTTCATGGAAATCCCTGTTTTTCCCCTAAAATATCGCTTATTTTCATAGAAATCCCTGTTTTTCCCCTAAAATATCGCTTATTTTCTTAGAAATCCCTGTTTTTAACCCTAAAATATCGCTTATTTTCATGGAAATCCCTGCTTTTTCCCCTAAAATATCGCTTATTTTCATAGAAATCCCTGTTTTTCCCCTAAAATATCGCTTATTTTCATAGAAATCCCTGTTTTTCCCCTAAAATATCGCTTATTTTCATAGAAATCCCTGTTTTTCCCCTAAAATATCGCTTATTTTCATAGAAATCCCTGTTTTTAACCCTTAAAATATCGCTTATTTTCATGGAAATCCCTGTTTTTCCCCTAAAATATCGCTTATTTTCATAGAAATCCCTGTTTTTCCCCTAAAATATCGCTTATTTTCATAGAAATCCCTGTTTTTTCCCCTAAAATATCGCTTATTTTCATAGAAATCCCTGTTTTTCCCCTAAAATATCGCTTATTTTCATAGAAATCCCTGTTTTTCCCCTAAAATATCGCTTATTTTCACGGAAATCCCTGTTTTTCCCCTAAAATATCGCTTATTTTCATGGAAATCCCTGTTTTTCCCCTAAAATATCGCTTATTTTCATGGAAATCCCTGTTTTTCCCCTAAAATATCGCTTATTTTCATGAAATCCCTGTTTTTCCCCTAAAATATCGCTTATTTTCACAGAAATCCCTGTTTTTCCCCTAAAATATCGCTTATTTTCACGGAAATCCCTGTTTTTCCCCTAAAATATCGCTTATTTTCATAGAAATCCCTGTTTTTCCCCTAAAATATCGCTTATTTTCATAGAAATCCCTGTTTTTCCCCTAAAATATCGCTTATTTTCATAGAAATCCCTGGTTTTCCCCTAAAATATCGCTTATTTTCATAGAAATCCCTGTTTTTAACCCTAAAATATCGCTTATTTTCATAGAAATCCCTGTTTTTCCCCTAAAATATCGCTTATTTTCATGAAATCCCTGTTTTTCCCCTAAAATATCGCTTATTTTCATAGAAATCCCTGTTTTTCCCCTAAAATATCGCTTATTTTCATAGAAATCCCTGTTTTTAGCCCTAAAATATCGCTTATTTTCATGGAAATCCCTTGTTTTTCCCCTAAAATATCGCTTATTTTCACAGAAATCCCTGTTTTTCCCCTAAAATATCGCTTATTTTCATAGAAATCCCTGTTTTTCCCCTAAAATATCGCTTATTTTCATGGATATCCCTGTTTTTAACCTAAAATATCGCTTATTTTCATAGAAATCCCTGTTTTTAACCCCTAAAATATCGCTTATTTTCATAGAAATCCCTGTTTTTAACCCTAAAATATCGCTTATTTTCATAGAAATCCCTGTTTTTCCCCTAAAATATCGCTTATTTTCACGGAAATCCCTGTTTTTCCCCTAAAATATCGCTTATTTTCATAGAAATCCCTGTTTTTCCCCTAAAATATCGCTTATTTTCATAGAAATCCCTGTTTTTAACCTAAAATATCGCTTATTTTCATAGAAATCCCTGGTTTTTCCCCTAAAATATCGCTTATTTTCATAGAAATCCCTGTTTTTAACATAAAATATCGCTTATTTTCATAGTAATCCCTGTTTTTATCCCTAAAATATCGCTTATTTTCATAGAAATCCCTGTTTTTCCCCTAAAATATCGCTTATTTTCATAGAAATCCCTGTTTTTAACATAAAATATCGCTTATTTTCATAGAAATCCCTGTTTTTCCCCTTAAATATCGCTTATTTTCATGGAAATCCCTGTTTTTAACCCTAAAATATCGCTTATTTTCATAGAAATCCCTGTTTTTCACCCTAAAATATCGCTTATTTTCATAGAAATCCCTGTTCTTTCCCCTAAAATATCGCTTATTTTCATGGAAATCCCTGTTTTTCCCCTAAAATATCGCTTATTTTCATAGAAATCCCTGTTTTTAACATAAAATATCGCTTATTTTCATAGAAATCCCTGTTTTTCACCCTAAAATATCGCTTATTTTCATAGAAATCCCTGTTTTTAACATAAAATATCGCTTATTTTCATAGAAATCCCTGTTTTTCCCCTAAAATATCGCTTATTTTCATGGAAATCCCTGTTTTTCCCCTAAAATATCGCTTATTTTCATAGAAATCCCTGTTTTTCCCCTGAAATATCGCTTATTTTCATAGAAATCCCTGTTTTTAGCCCTAAAATATCGCTTATTTTCATAGAAATCCCTGTTTTTCCCCTAAAATATCGCTTATTTTCATGGAAATCCCTGTTTTTCCCCTAAAATATCGCTTATTTTCATCGAATCCCTGTTTTTAACCCTAAAATATCGCTTATTTTCATAGAAATCCCATGTTTTTCCCCTATAATATCGCTTATTTTCACAGAAATCCCTGTTTTTAACCCTAAAATATCGCTTATTTTCATGGAAATCCCTGTTTTTCCCCTAAAATATCGCTTATTTTCATAGAAATCCCTGTTTTTAACCCTAAAATATCGCTTATTTTCATGGAAATCCCTGGTTTTCCCCTAAAATATCGCTTATTTTCATAGAAATCCCTGTTTTTCCCCTAAAATATCGCTTATTTTCACGGAAATCCCTGTTTTTCCCCTAAAATATCGCTTATTTTCATAGAAATCCCTGTTTTTAACCCTAAAATATCGCTTATTTTCATAGAAATCCCTGTTTTTCCCCTAAAATATCGCTTATTTTCACAGAAATCCCTGTTTTTCCCCTAAAATATCGCTTATTTTCATGGAAATCCCTGTTTTTCCCCTAAAATATCGCTTATTTTCACAGAAATCCCTGTTTTTCCCCTAAAATATCGCTTATTTTCATGGAAATCCCTGTTTTTAGCCCTAAAATATCGCTTATTTTCATAGAAATCCCTGTTTTTTCCCCTAAAATATCGCTTATTTTCACAGAAATCCCTGTTTTTCCCCTAAAATATCGCTTATTTTCATAGAAATCCCTGTTTTTCCCCTGAAAATATCGCTTATTTTCATGGATATCCCTGTTTTTCCCCTAAAATATCGCTTATTTTCATGGAAATCCCTGTTTTTAACATAAAATATCGCTTATTTTCATAGAAATCCCTGTTTTTAACCCTAAAATATCGCTTATTTTCATAGAAATCCCATGTTTTTCCCCTAAAATATCGCTTATTTTCATAGAAATCCCTGTTTTTCCCCTAAAATATCGCTTATTTTCATAGAAATCCCTGTTTTTCCCCTAAAATATCGCTTATTTTCATAGAAATCCCTGTTTTTCCCCTGAAATATCGCTTATTTTCACAGAAATCCCTGTTTTTCCCCTAAAATATCGCTTATTTTCACAGAAATCCCTGTTTTTAACCCTAAAATATCGCTTATTTTCATAGAAATCCCTGTTTTTATCCCTAAAATATCCCTTATTTTCATAGAAATCCCTGTTTTTCCCCTAAATATCGCTTATTTTCATAGAAATCCCTGTTTTTAACCCTAAAATATCGCTTATTTTCACATGGAAATCCCTCTTTTTCCCCTAAAATATCGCTTATTTTCATAGAAATCCCTGTTTTTCCCCTAAAATATCGCTTATTTTCACATGAAATCCCTGTTTTTCCCCTTAAATATCGCTTATTTTCACAGAAATCCCTGTTTTTCCCCTAAAATATCGCTTATTTTCATAGAAATCCCTGTTTTTAACATAAAATATCGCTTATTTTCATAGAAATCCCTGTTTTTCCCCTAAAATATCGCTTATTTTCATAGAAATCCCTGTTTTTAACCCTAAAATATCGCTTATTTTCATAGAAATCCCTGTTTTTCCCCTAAAATATCGCTTATTTTCATGGAAATCCCTGTTTTTCCCCTAAAATATCGCTTATTTTCATAGAAATCCCTGTTTTTCCCCTAAAATATCGCTTATTTTCATAGAAATCCCTGTTTTTAACATAAAATATCGCTTATTTTCATAGAAATCCCTGTTTTTAACCCTAAAATATCGCTTATTTTCATGAAATCCCTGTTTTTCCCCTAAAATATCGCTTATTTTCATCGAATTCCCTGTTTTTAACATAAAATATCGCTTATTTTCATAGAAATCCCTGTTTTTCCCCTAAAATATCGCTTATTTTCATAGAAATCCCTGTTTTTAACCCTAAAATATCGCTTATTTTCATGGAAATCCCTGTTTTTCCCCTAAAATATCGCTTATTTTCATAGAAATCCCTGTTTTTCCCCTAAAATATCGCTTATTTTCATAGAAATCCCTGGTTTTTCCCCTAAAATATCGCTTATTTTCATAGAAATCCCTGTTTTTCCCCTAAAATATCGCTTATTTTCATAGAAATCCCTGTTTTTCCCCTAAAATATCGCTTATTTTCATGGAAATCCCTGTTTTTCCCCTAAAATATCGCTTATTTTCATGGAAATCCCTGTTTTTCCCCTAAAATATCGCTTATTTTCATAGAAATCCCTGTTTTTCCCCTAAAATATCGCTTATTTTCACAGAAATCCCTGTTTTTCCCCTAAAATATCGCTTATTTTCATAGAAATCCCTGTTTTTCCCCTAAAATATCGCTTATTTTCATAGAAATCCCTGTTTTTAACCCTAAAATATCGCTTATTTTCATAGAAATCCCTGTTTTTCCCCTAAAATATCGCTTATTTTCATAGAAATCCCTGTTTTATCCCTAAAATATCGCTTATTTTCATAGAAATCCCTGTTTTTCCCCTTAAATATCGCTTATTTTCATAGAAATCCCTGTTTTTCCCCTTAAAATATCGCTTATTTTCATGGAAATCCCTGTTTTTCCCCTGA